TTTTGGTTCCTTCTTTTGGCCACTCACAGTTAGCTGGAACTCCTCGTTGCTCTTATTAGCAAGTGCAGCAGCTACTTATTCTTTCTTCATAGTTAGTATAGTTCTTAGAGTTATAGTTACTTATTAGTTAGTTAAAAAACTGTTTACTAGTTTGTTTCAGACAGTTAAGTGGGAGGTATTTCTCCCTCCCGTTTGCTTCTGCTTGGTTCCTTCTTTTGGCCACTCACAGTTAGCTGGAACTCCTCGTTGCTCTTATTAGCAAGTGCAGCAGCTACTTATTCTTTCTTCATAGTTAGTATAGTTCTTAGAGTTATAGTTACTTATTAGTTAGTTAAAAAACTGTTTACTAGTTTGTTTCAGACAGTTAAGTGGGAGGTATTTCTCCCTCCCGTTTGCTTCTGCTCCTGGGCATACCTGAGTCTCCAGGCTTCAATGCTTGGGGATCTTGAGGCCCTCACACTTCTTGCTTAAAGCGTTTGGGAAATGGGCATAAAAAAGACCGTCCTGTTAATGGAGGCAGCACTCAGCCCTCAAACAGAGCATGCACTGACAAACTTGGCACTGAGTGGTGTCTCATTAGTCCACGGCACACTGCTGCTATCAGTGCATGGGTAAGCCATGACCAGGAGCTGTCAGCACCTTATGGGCTCTTCTCAAAGCTCTCATCATCAGCATCAATCCTAATCACAAGTGCCATATCTTAAGAAGAAGAGGTAAGAGAGGGGGAGGTCCCCTGCTAAAGTTTAGCCAAAGGAATGTGTCACATTCTCACAAGTCATGCTCACACTTGGCCTGTACAGTCCCTGTGCAGAACCCCCTCCAGTGCGACAGCCCCGGCCCACCTCTCTGCCTCCTAGGATGGCACCTCTTAGGGCCGTCAGCACACCTGTCTCTGCCGTGGGCCCTCTTGGGGAGTCCACTCACTCTGGACCTCCAGGGACTCCACTCCAGAAGGAATAGTGTAACCCTGTTCTCCAGAACAGAGCGACTTCCAGCCAGCAGAAAACAGGAGGGTTTATTGAGCTTTGAATGCAACAAAGGAACTCTCAGGCCTGTAGGCCCAGGCATCCCTTAGAGTAGCACATCCTAATTATTTACACTAGGCTTGATAGTAAATAAAAGTAATTGTATCCAGTACAAACAATAGAATGTAAGTGGTTGCAAGTGAAAACAGGCAAAGCAAAGTAGATTACAAATTTAAAATAAAAGAAAACATATAGCTAGTTCTAAAGCACTAAAACTTACTGCAGACTTACCCTAAAACTGTTCTTATGTTGGGCAAAACCCGTCCAAGCAAAGGAAGATCTTTCTCTTCCTGGGTTCTCTGGCTATTCTCTTGGGTGTGTCCAGACAGCCAAAGACAAAGAGCTTGAAAACTTTGCATCTGAAATAGACTTCCTTTTGGGTGGGAATTGTTTGTTTCTCCATTCCCCCCTTCCATGAAAATTACCTGGTTAGACCCCTAACCAGATTCTTCTCACAAGCACCTTCTGCTTCAGGAGATGCACATGCTGCTGTTTCTAGAAGCAGTGGAGAAGGTTCCTTGGGAATTCTCTGGGGGAAGGGCTTCTGCTTCTGCTATTTCCTAATCCTGAAAGCCAAAGGCGGACTCCAGCCCATTCTGGGGGTACATCTACACTACAGCGCTAGTTCGAACTAACGCATCTAGAACTAAAAACTAGTTCGAATTAGCGTTTTGCTAGTTCGAACTAGCAAGTCCACATTGAGTGGACTCTGAACAGGGCTTAAGGATGGCCGGAAGCAGTGCCGGCAGGGCATAAAAGGAGGACTTAGAGCATGGAGATGCTGTCTCAGGCTAGCCGAGGGCTGCGCTTAAAGGGTCCCGACCCCCACCCCGGACACACAGTTCTAAGGGGTGCCCCGCTTGCAAAGAAGTTCTGGCTTGGAGTGCCCTGAGTGCCCACACTGGGCACATCACACCACTCGGCCATCAGCCCGGCTGCACTTGCCGCAGGCTGCCATCTGGGGAGAGGGAGTAATTGGGGGGCTGCAGGAGAGCTTCCACCCCCAGAAGCCCGCAGAGCCAGCCCAGTCCTCCCCATCGGGGGCTCGTACCCCATTCCTCCCTCACCTCCTTCCACTTACCCTTCCCTAGCCCCCCTTCTTATTGATGTACAAAATAAAGATAACGTTTCTTCCAACATTGACTCTGTCTTTATTGAAAAAAAACTGGGGGAGACTGGGAAAAGGAGGTGGGAGAGGGGAAGAGAAAGGCTGGGAGAGGGGAGGGCAACTAACATGATCAGGGGTTGGGAACAGGTCCCAGATGAAGAAAGGCTACAGAGACTGGGACTGTTCAGCTTAGAAAAGAGGAGACGGAGGGGGGACAGGATAGAGGTCTCTAAAAGCAGGGGTTGGGTGGAGAGGGTGCATTCAGAAAAGTTCTTCCTGAGTTCCCATAAAGAAGGACTAGAGGACACCAAAGGAAAGGAATGGGTAGCAGGCTTGAAACTAGTAAGAGAAAGTTGTTCTTCTTGACAAAGCAAATAGTTAACCTGTGGAACTCCTTGCTGCAGGAGGCTGTGAAGGCTACAACTAGAACAGAGTTTAAAGGGAAGTGAGATCAAGTCATGGAGGTTGGGTCCATGGAGTCCTATTAGCCAGAGGGTAGGAGTGGTGTCCCTGCCCAAAGTTTGTGGAAGGCTGGAGAGGGATGGCACGAGACAAATGGCTTGGTCATTGTCTTCGGTCCATCCCCTCCAGGGTCCCTAGGGTTGGCCGCTGTTGGCAGACAGGCTACTGGGCTAGATGGACCTTTGGTCTGACCCAGGACGGCCATTGTAAGCTCAGGGCTCAGGGTCGGGGGTCTCAGTGGACCCCCTTGATTTTCATGCACACCTGGTCCTGGGTGGCCAGGCTGGCAGCTCTCCTGCCCTAGACGGCCACTTTCCTGTGCCTAGTGCAGAGATCGTGGACGAGGTCCAAGATGTCTGCACTAGCCCAGGAAGGTGCCCGCCTCTTGCGGTCCCGGGCAAGCTCCCGGGAGCCGCCAGCCTGGTCCCGGGCAGAGGGGGCGGGCTGGGGGGCATCGGGTGAGTGGCTCCAGCCGGGAGCTGGGTGCTGGCAGGCTTGCACCTGGCACGGGCACCGTAGCCAGCCCGTGCCCCTTTAAGGGGTCCGGGGCCGGGAGGGGGGCATAGAGTTTCCCTGGTGTTGGCCAGAGTGGCCACCAGGGAAACCTGGGAAGCCTTAGCCTCCCACTAGTTCGAACTAAAGGGCTACACAGCCCTTAGTTCGAACTAGCTAGTTCGAACTAGGCGTTAGTCCTCGTAAAATGAGGTTTACCTAGTTCGAACTAAGCGCTCCGCTAGTTCGATTCAAATTCGAACTAGCGGAGTGCTAGTGTAGCACCTATTAAAGTTAGTTCGAACTAACGTCCGTTAGTTCGAACTAACTTTGTAGTGTAGACATACCCTGGATCTGTGTGATCTCAACAAGTTCATAAAGAAGCACAAGTTCCTCATAGTCTCCCTGGCATCTGTTATTCCTCTCCCTGGATCTGAGTGACTGGTACACCGTCCTCAGCATGAGGGATGTGTGCTTCCACACTGCAATTTACCACTTTCATAGGAAGTACCTAAGATTTATGATAGGCCGTTAGCACTGCCAGTTTACAGTTCTCCCATTTGGCCTTTCCTCAGCACCTTGGGTTTTCATTAAGTTCATGGCAGCTTTCCTATGCAGGCATCACGTTCAGGTGTTCCCTTACCTCGACGATTGGCTCATAAAGGGCTGCTCCAGGGACCACATAGAGGCTGAGGTCAGACTAATCAAAGCTGTGTTTGACAAGCTAGGCCTCCTGATCAATGACAACAAATGACCTCTCTCCCCAGTTCAGAGAATAGAGTTTATAAGGGCAATCCTAGACTTCACAAAGGCAAGGCCGTATCTGACCATGTCTGACATCATTCACAGACGCAGACTGTGACGGGGTGTGACCACAGAAAACCCCTTGGGGCTGCTTCCTGGCAGGGCCGGCTCTAGGCACCAGCAAAACAAGCAGGTGCTTGGGGCAGCACATTGTCAGGGGTGGCATTCTGGCCTGAGGAGGAGCAGGCGGTAAGCCGAGCCTCCTGGAGGCCGCCCTGAGCTGGGAGCCCTGTGCCTGGCTGTTCAGAGCCTGCTCCTGGCCATGGGGCACTGGGAGGGGAGGTCAGGATGGGGCGGGGCACTGGGAGGGTGGGGTGCCTGGCCCCGTGGCGCTGGCAGGGCAGGGCAGGGTGGCCATGGCTGGTGATGCTGAGCCCAGCGGGGCAG